GTCATTTGTAGTTATTTGGTCATAAAGCGACGTCAGTAGGCCACATGCTCTAGGCAACATGTATGTTTGTACAAACTTGAGCACCAAACCAACTTATAGACGTTAAAATATTTCACTAAGTGAAAACGTTGGATGGTGAAATGTCAGCATTCACCAGTATTATAGGATTCATCCTGTATGAATGAATGAACGTTTCTACTGTATTTCATCCTAATCTATCAAATAGTTGATGAGATATTCCAGTCTGTCAGTATTGAACCTACACTGCCTTCACTAGATCGAAGTTGAGGCATAGCTAAAAATGTATGTTTTCCGAATTCCCATACACAGCAAACGTAACACTACAAGAATCAACAGCCCATTAGACATCCACTGTACATGTATTGTTTTGCACTGACAAATCCCCTTTGTCTTCCTTCAGGTTGATGGAAAGAGAACTAATCCGCCCGCCTCACCGGCTGCTGGTCTAAACATCCGGGAGCATTCCTCTCACATCTACCTGGCGACAGACTTCGGCCTGTCAGTGGAGTTTGATGGACACAGCTCAGCAGGTAGCTAACCTCAATATACAGGACAGATAGAATTAGAGGTGGTCCTCAAACTTGTAGGACCAGCGTATTCATACAATAAATTAAGTGTAACTGCTAATGTTTTTCCCTGCAGAGATCATTCTACCGCATCTTTATAGAAGAAAGGTGGGAGGCCTGTGTGGAAACTTTGATGGACACAGGCGGAATGACAAGACAAAGCCAGATGGTACCATGACCTCGAACACTCAGGAGTTTGGAGAGAGCTGGAGAGTGTGAAGATCACATGGAAGAGACAAGTCTGTGAAAGCTTTGCCCGTTAGTTGATTCACTACTGTTTCACTTTACACGAAAACTTCATGCTGATCTGTATAACTGTATTAAATGATAACAGGCTGAAATAATGCTTATTTAGTTTCTTCCTTTGACAACACAAATCAGAGCGGCGAAACATGCTTCAACGTGGCTTCTCAGGAAGACGACAACTGTTATGCACAAAGTAATGTAGAGTGGTAAAAGACTTCCCCATTGTATGCACATTTTTTCTGGGAATTCACCGCTTTTACGTCCGTTTTTACAGAAGTTACTCATCTTTTTTTATTTTTTCTATGAAATCTCTGTACTCAGTGACAGCCTAACCACTACAGCACACACTTCAGGCGTATCTCACACACGCTGTTACAGAAAGTAACCGAACATTCAATACAGGAAGTTGAAATAAGAAAACACACGACTGCACATGGTGGTGTGTTTGGTAAAAAAAAAAGCAATTGAAATGTACTGTAAATAATTACTAAACATGCTGCTTGCACTTTTGTCACAATGTGTACTGCTACCAGCTTCATGGTAGCTTTTCTGTTGAATCCTCACTGTTCTAATAAACAGGCACTGTGGTTAAAATTGTGTCGCCTTGGGTTTTGTCCCTTTAGTCTCAAGTGTAGCCAAAGCAGCATTCCTGGCATATCTATCTACATTTTAAAGGTGTAACCCACTAACCAGCCAACGAACAGGAAAAAATTCTTATCACTACAGAAAAAAAAATAAAACTGAACTTCTGTAACGTGATACGTGAAGACACGGTAATTGTTTATCTGGTAGACAAAAGCATTATTCTTGTCTGAAGAGGACCTGTATATGTATGTGTGTCTTGTGCATGTATCAAAAAGTTTCAGCTACGCTCAGAGGCCGCTCAGAGTCATGGATTGGTTTGTACTGTTCCTCTTTCTGCTGTCAGGGTTTCTGCTTCCCTGCATTGGTGAGTGAAACGTTGTCATATTTAATATTAAACTGTTTACTGACAGAATGGAATAATTATGTTGTAACATTTTAAAAGAAGTGTAATTTAGGATACAAAGCTACAACAAGCAAGATCTATAGTTATTCAACCAGCCAGATTTATTTTCTGTTGACCTGAAAAGTCTTTTGAGGGGATTATACTTAAAATATTTAAGTTTTTAAAAAAGAGGAGTTCCACTGCCGATTAAAACAGAGGCAACCTGCTGGGTTGAGTTGTGTTTATAGTTCATACGCAAGTAAATGGCATCGACCACATTGTACGTACTCATACATAGCACTAAGAATAACAACTTACCAATATAAATATAAAATACAATTATAAATGCAATGATGCATCCAAGTTTCCCCAACGACCTAAAACAGGAAAAGTTTAGTCACATTTAATGTCAGATAGTGAGAAAAAAAAAAAAAGGTTATAAAATCCACCTAGGCAAGATTAAAATTTTGATTTGGTCAAGGAAGATTTAAAATCCGCCTGGATTTTAATTTGGACTGTGATATATATATATATATATATTTATCACATATACAATTTAAAGCAGAAGTTTACATACAACTATTTTAAGAAACTTGTGGAAGGATACCCAAAACATTTGACCCAAGACTTACAGTTTAAGAGCAACGCTACCAAATACTAAAGAAATGCATGTAAACGTCTGACTTTGAAGAAAGTAATAAAAAAAAAATTCTCTAAAAAGTTGTCTCTCTCATTGTTGTGGCATTTAGCAAATAGAAATAATTTAGGTAATCCTAACTGACCTAAAACAGGAAAAGTTTAGTTTGACTGAATGTCAGACAGTGAGAAAAAAAAAAAGTGATATGTATTTTCATACATCATTCTGGTTCAACTGTGTGTGTGTGTATATATATATATACTGCTGATGAGACTGCTGCTGTTGAGAGAGTTTAGCATTTAGGACCTGGAAACTGACCATTCTTTAGCTGTAGAAGTCACGTCTTACAGGAAAGACCACAAAGAGGACTTACAAGGTGACGTGATACCAAATAGTTACCTGTGACTTCCGTACCATCGCCTCTCCTGTATCAAGCAAGGTGTCTCCTTCAATGTTTGTTTTTTGTGTGTAAATTCCAGTAAACTGACCTATCGTTGTCCTTGACAATTTTCCAGGTCAAATAGCAGCTCCGACAACCACCCCAACAGGTAACAACCACATCACCTTATACTGTGTACTCCCTGGTTCCATTAGTCCACTACAGTAGATACTGCTTCTACCTCAAACCCACAACTACTAGCAACATCTCTCTCACTTGTCCAAGTTGCAGCTATTTCCACCAAGCTCACTGCAGTGATCTTCTAACCAGCCACTGCACCCTAACAGCTCTATCCTATCTGTAGAAGCCATTAACGTATTAATAAATTTGCTATTTTTAAAATGTAATAGGCCAATAATGTAATAAAAGTTCTGAAACGATAACGTAGTAACATTTGGCCAATAACGTAATAATTTATTGCGGTTCCTCTCGTACTGGGCAGGATTGGTATTGCAACAACACATCATCAGTAGGGTAAAACTAACCTGTAAACCCAGCTCACGTTCCATATTAGTGGGTTAACAATCCAACGTTTGGTGAATTCTGCTTCACAATGATAGGAAGAGCCGACATTGAAGGATCAAAAAGCGACGTCGCTATGAACGCTTGGCCGCCACAAGCCAGTTCTCCCTGTGGCAACTTTTCTGACACCTCCTGTTTAAAACCCAAAAAAGTCAGAAGGACTGCTTATTAACTTATCACGTTATTGGCTGGTTATTACATTAGATTTTTGGGTTTTTTTATTTTTTTACCAGGCCAATAACACAACAACTTATTACATTATTGCCCAAAAGATATGATGTTATCAGTTCAGGACTTTTATTATGTTATTGGCCAAACTATATTAATGGCCGTTGTTACGTTATTGACTGTTATTACATTATTGGCTTTGACAGGTTTCCACAAAATATTTAATAAATCAAGTTAACGACAGAGCTGCAACTATGACAGTTATATTCATTGCTACTGTTGACTGTGTTATTAATCTTTGGCTTGATAGCTGTTTGTTAGATAGTTGTAGTAAGTTGCAATTTTAAGTCATCTTGAAATAGCATTGTGCAGTAACACACACCGTGCAGTGCTGATGTTGTAGTTTCACCACAAAAGCTGTGCTGTGTGCTCCAGGCTGTGCAGGTCCACCAGCGCTGTGCTGCTCTGGTCAAAACTCAACCTGTCGCAGAGTGTGTTTCTGCGATGAGGCCTGTAGGTCTTTTAATGACTGCTGTTCTGACTTCATCTCAACCTGCGTACAACGTAAGTGGGGACAAACACACAAACCGAAAGATACACGTGTGTCCGATTGTGTTTAAGATTTCTAACGCAAATCTGTCCTCTTCACTACACTTCTAAATCCTGCACCTACAAAAAAAACACAAGCAACAGTATTTCATCTACCGTGACTAATGTTACCTTAACTTCTTCAACAACAGCACAGAGTACAACATCTGCACCATCGACTGTGAGCACAACCTCATCATCCACGGTGTCTGATTCTACAGCATCTAGTACAATGAACA